AACCAATAGAATTTGTTGTCTTATATAATGTCAGATTATTTGACAAAAACATGCAACTTTTTCTATTTACCATAAAAACGCTTCACAGCGCTTCATGTTCCATTTACTAAAGAAATGCACGAGAGCATTTACTGTTGATCTTGGATGCTCAGGTTGGAGCTCAATGTTGGCGTTACAACTTTGTTTTGAGCTTCTGCTGTAAACAATTTCCCAAGCTCAAGTTTAAGCTCAGGGTGGAGCTCAGGTTGACTCTATGCATGCTCAAGTTTAAGCTCAGGGTGGAGCTCAGGTTGACTCTATGCATGCTCAGGTTGAAGCTCAGGGTGGAGCTCAGGTTGACTCTATGCATGCTCAGGTTGAAGCTCAGGGTGGAGCTCAGGTTGACTTTGAACAAGCTCAGGTTGAAGCTCAGGGTGGAGCTCAGGTTGACTTTGAGCAAGCTCAGGTTGAAGCTCAAGATTTAGCTCAACATACCTCATTGTAATTCATTTCGTCAACAATCGCAGTTTCTTCCAATAGCTGAACATCACTGAGTGTTTTCCCAGATTTTCAGATTACACTTACAGCATTTCAACTTTTTTTCTAGGCCAGTAGACCCAAGTTCAAACAAAGGGGCAAGGGTCTCACAGATTTGAGGCTAAATCCAATGGCTGGATTCATTCACTAATGAAATCTATTTTGGGGGAACCTTGGTTAAGTACTTAAGTTTCGACTGGGCCTGGTTGCGGTATGGACATTGAGTTACAAACATCGAGTTAGGAAAACATTGAGTTACAGAAATGACCATGCCAACTTTTGCAAAACCACTTGATGTTCTGTTAATTAAACATTGAGTTACAATTTGGGTGTGATTTGCAAAAGTGGGCGTGGTTTCTTAAATATGGGCATGGTCATTTTTGTAACTCATTTTTGCATCTCAGTGAAAAGGTTAAACTAGGAAATTACGAACAGCAATGCATGATGGGAATTATTGTAGTGATCGAAGACAATAAATAACACTATTAATCAGGGTGCAATGCGTAAAACAAATTTCTTGGGGAATTTTGCGATTCAGTGAAAATCACAAACTTTTGCTTGAGTTTAAATTTGACTTTCGTAAATAGTAGTTTTTGTTTTCACCAGTGAAAAATCAATTACTGTAAAATACTTTATTAATTTTAGCTTAAAAGACTTTGTAGATGTTTGGTGTGGAATTTATTTTCACCGATTTTTGTGTATTGAATGTAAAATATAGGAAAAAAACATGGATTTTATTTTCACTGAAACATTCCTTCAGTGACAATAGCAAAAATTCATTCCAAGCCAAAATTAAAGTATTATACGGTAGTTCATAGTACCATCTCAGAGTGCAATTTTAAAGTAGTAAATATAAAAAAAAAATATTTTCTTGTATTTATTTTCAGGATTTGCGTAAATTATTACAAAAAGAGAAAAAACCTGTTTTATTGATGTTTTACGCTCCATGTAAGTATGGAATTTCCTACATACGATATATTATTATACATCTCTCACAACAATCTACAGCATGTTATATTCTGGACTGCTGAAAACTGCTAAGCTAGATTTAAAGGGGAACCGCTCAATCCCAGGGATTGCACCAATGAATCATGGGACACTATTGTTTATGTTGTTTACAAAGTTAATCTATCTTTGGTTATCCATTGTAATTTTAATCCAGAAAGTAAATTTGTTGTGAGATTAGGCTTAACTGGAAGCAAAAAAGCAAACTAAATGGTAATTGTCTACCATATTGATGTTTTTGTTTGCAGGGTGCGGTCATTGTAAACAACTAAAACCAGAATTTGCAGAAGCTGCTACAGAACTCAAAGGAGAAGCAGTAAGTTCAATATTTGTGTCATTTTGGCTTATGCACTCTGAACTCTATAATTATAATGTGTGATTTTTGTGAGTTCAAAAATGAATCACACTGTCATTCATCACTGTATACAATCAGAGGTACATTACTTGGGGTTTGCAACTACGGTGACATGATACCAAGATTCCGTTTCAATCTCGCTCTCGCATAAGCGTTCCAACTCAGAAAAATGCGAATGCGCATGCCCGATGTAACTAGGATACTGGGATGTCCAGGTGGATCAAAATAGCTGCTCACGATATGACTGATTACGATAACTATATTTTCTGTAAATTTTCAATGTATTACATTTTTTCATTATGAATGTGGTAATACATGTTTTATTGATTTATTACAAACCGCCTATGTCATGTCAGAAGGTCGTAGCATCAGTCTTGAATGAGATCTTGACATGATGTCACCATACAGTACTATGCGCGTTGCAAACCCCAAGTAATGTACCTATGATACAATAGAGACATTCAAATTTTTCATCGCATTTATGCCACACTCATTTCACTTTTTGTACATTATAATTGAATTTAGAAAAACATGGTATAAGGTAAATGAATACTGAAAAAGTATTAACTCAGGCAGTACGGGATTGCATTGACCTTTGCTTTACTTTAGTTTAGCTGGAATTAATTTTCGCTGAAAAGACTTTTCGGGTGTTTTGTATGGAATTTATTTTCACTGATTTTTGACGAGTTGAATGTAAAATATAGGGGAAAAAAATATATTTGCTGGATTTTATTTTTACTGAATCATTCTTTCAGCAAAATAACGAAAATTAATTCCAAGTGAAAATAAAGTATTCCACAGTATGTTGGTTTATATGATCTCCATACTGCCATTGCATCGTAATCTGCAATGATAATCATATACAATGTTATTTTGTGTCATTACAACTGACTCTGTGACCTTTGACCTGCTAGATATTGGCGGGGATGGATGTTGATAAGCCAGAAAATTATGGAAGTCGACAAACTTTTAATATCACTGGATTTCCAACTATTTATTACTTTGAGTAAGTACTGTTCAAATATATTTTTGTAGTTAATGGTGTTTCTAGTCAGTATGTGCTGTTTTTGTTTACTAGTTTATTTCGAATTGAATTTCCAGATGAATAATTAATCATATGACGTAATGCAGAGTGACGACACTATAAACATTTTGTTTCAATTCAATTCAAACAGTTCACTTGTGAAACAAATTTTACCCAGCAGAGCTAAAAAAAAAACAAAAAAACTTGCAGTATGCAATTCCACGCGACTTTAAAGAGCGAAAGTTATCACGCCACGTATACGCGAGATGTGGGTCTCATATAAACAAAAATGGTGACTGTGACTGTTGCACAGACCAACAGTACAAAATAAAACTAGACTTTTCCAAGCTTTAATTGGGGATATTGTTGGTGATTGGAAGGTATCAAAGATTGAGACAATGGCAGTAATTAGTGAATCATGACGCACCCAGGTTAAACTTCATACTCGTAATTCCCATTAGAAGAGCGCATTGGATTGTGGGGAAATCCATATTTATCATAACAAATATTACAAATGGGCATTGTGCTGACCAGCACCCTTTAAATAAATATTTCTAATTTTTATTTTGACAGGGGTGGTAAGATGAAATACCTGTATGGTGGAGAACGCAACAAAGCTGGAATTCTCACATGGATGAGGGAGTAAGTAACAAACAAACAAACATATTAGCCTGTCCTACTCGTTTTGCAGACTAAAGGTCGCACATCCTGGTACATTTGACCCCGTTTGGTCACACATCCTGGTACATTTGACCCCGTTTGGTCACACATCCTGGTACATTTGACCCTGAATGATCACACATCTTGGTACACATAACCCTAAAAGTCACACATCATGGCACATATGGCCCCTAACAGTCACACATCCTTGTACATATGGCCCCTAACAGTCACACATCCTGGTACATTTGACCCCAAATGATCACACATCTTGGTACACATAACCCTAAAAGTCACACATCATGGCACATATGGCCCCTAAAAGTCACACATCATGGCACATATGGCCCCTAACAGTCACACATCCTTGTACATATGGCCCCTAACAGTCACACATCCTGGTACATTTGACCCCAAATGATCACACATCTTGGTACACATAACCCTAAAAGTCACACATCATGGCACATATGGCCCCTAAAAGTCACACATCATGGCACATATGGCCCCTAACAGTCACACATCATGGCACATATGACCCCTAACAGTCACACATCCTTGTACATATGGCCCCTAACAGTCACACATCCTTGTACATATGGCCCCTAACAGTCACACATCCTTGTACATATGACCCGTAAAGGTCACACATCCTGGTGCATATGGCCCCTAACAGTCACACATCCTGGTACATATGACCCGTAAAGGTCACACATCCTGGGATTTTTTGAGACGACAAATACACTGTTAGGGAAAATTTCCTGATTTTTTTTTTTTTAAATTGTTACTAAATTGACAAAAACTGGAAGAGAATGGAACAAGATGCAAAAATAAGTTCTGTAGATTTCTTTCTATCAACATGATCTTAGCTGCCATGTGTTTGTCTCGAGTATATTGATGTATGGAAGGTATATTGATCCAAAAGAGTTAGAATGGATGTTGTCTCTTATCTCAATATTTCACATTTTGTTTTCAGTCCTCAGCCACCAAAGGAACCAGAGAAGGAGTGAGGATTGAGTGATGAAGACAATGATCTCAATACTTCTCATTTTTTTCAGTCCTCAGCCACCAAAGGAGCCAGAGAAGGAGTTAGGATGGAGTGATGAAGACAATAATGTTGTTCATTTATTGGATGAGACATTTGATGAATTTATACAGGAACATAACTCTGTTATGGTTATGTTTTATGCACCATGTAAGTATAGGTCAAAGGTTAAGGGTCATAAGGTCATATCGATGTCTCATAGGGAAATAACGGTTAGATACTTGTCACATTGATCATTATGGCTCAGATTTTCACGTGACATTTGTCACCTTTCCCAAAATAAAACACACATCATTTATTTATATTTGATTAAAACAGTTTATATTATTTGGTACCAATTTATTCAAAAAATTACCGTACTCGCCTTTGTTAGCGCCCATGCTCGGCTAAGCACTCACCCTCCATGTTTGGGACATTTCTATTTTCGGGTTCACATCCCCTTCATAATGTCCCTAATTTGACTGTCTATTCATAAAACTCGGTCTTTGATCATTGTTTAGACAGACTTGACCCATTAGGTCAAAGGACGTTGTTGCAGGTCAAATCGTGTAAGAAACTATCATGGCTGAAAGTGCTTTTCATTAGGAGTTTGCGTATGATCCAACACATTCTAAAATAAAGATAATAACGAAAATTTTTACTTTGACTGTGTTCCAACAGACTCTAATATTTTTAACCTTGTAAATTCTAGTGGTGCATAATTAATATTGTAATAAAATGTGCATAATTTTTGTGACCATTTCTGTTTCTTCATTGTAAAATTCAATGACGACGCAACTAACTTCGTAATTTTATTAAGTCGAAATATTCCCCTCAATCTGTCACATTGTGAACTGAAATTGTCATTTGCTCCCTTTCTGAGCGGGGTACTCTGGTAAGTACCCACCTCTTAAAAAAATTTTGATTTCCTGAGTTAGCCGAACATAAACCTGAAAATAGAAATGTGCCAAAAAGATGGGGGGTAGGTGCTTGGCTGAACATCGGTGTTAACGGTAACGTTAACAAGTACAGTATGTAGGAGTGATCTTGTTACACGGTTCAGGGGAGTCCCAGCAACTTCCCCAAAGTACAGTTTTCTGAACATTTTCAACTTTTGTTTTCACCATGATGGTTGCCAGGCAGGAAAAATGCCCGGATGTCCGCCCCGAGAATAGCTTACAAGAAGATTGTAACACATCTGTTTGCATCTGACAAGTTTGTTATGTATTGTCATGGACATATTCAAATGTAGATGTGTTTACCAACACTCTACTCGTACATGTCTATCTACATGTAAAGCCTTGAGTGAGTAAGGGACACCGTGTCATTGAGGCTCATGTCCCGCGGCGAGTCGTAACACTCATCTCATCTCAGGACAAGTGCGACGTGTTGCTCAAACGCATTATTGATTCCCTGTGTAACACATCTGTTTGCATCTGACAAGTTTCTTATGTATTGTCAGGGACATATTCAAATGTAAATGTCTTCCTTGCTTGATATGTGTGTCATTTACCAATACCACTATACATGTATATCTTTGTTTTCTATAGGGTGTGGTCATTGTAAAAAGATGAAACCAGAATATAGTGAAGCTGCCACCCAACTTATAGATGAAGAGGTAAGCTTCTACTTCCTGTCATGTGATGCGATTCTGCCAATACATGAGCTCCTATCCTGTCATGTGATACGATTCTGCCAATACATGAGCTCCTATCCTGTCATGTGATACAATTCTGCCAATACATGAGCTCCTATCCTGTCATGTGATACGATTCTGTCAATACATGAGCTCCTATCCTGTCATGTGATACAATTCTGCTAATACATGAGCTCCTATCCTGTCATGTGAAACGATTCTGCCAATACATGAGCTCCTATCCTGTCATGTGATAGATTCTGCCAATACATGAGCTCCTATCCTGTCATGTGATCAATTCTGTTAATACATGAGCTGCTATCCTGTCATGTGATACGATTCTGCCAATACATGAGCTCCTATCCTGTCATGTGATACGATTCTGCTAATGCATGAGCTTCTACTTCCTGTCATGTGACATGTTTCTGCCAATACATGAGCTCCTACTTCCTGCCATGAGATATGATTCTGCCAATACATGAGCTCCTATCCTGTCATGTGATATGATTCTGCCAATACATGAGCTCCTATCCTGTCATGTGATACGATTCTGCTTCTGCCAATACATGAGCTCCTATCCTGTCAT